AAAAAGCTAGGCTGAATTCTCAAGAAACGGGATGACTAATACAGGCAGTCCTTGACGTTAACGACCAAAACAGATCCCCCAAGTTTCTGCTTCTAAGGGAGGCAGACATCAACTGAGTTTTGCTCCATTTTACGACCTTTACGGGCAGATTGTCGTTAAGCGAATCCTGTTGACTTTGCTTTTCGGAAGCGGATCGCCTGGACCCTGGGAGGCTGTGACCGTCGTTAATACGAGTCAGTTGCCAAGCCTCTGAACTTTGATCACGTGACCACGGGGGGGGGGAACGCCGCCACGGTCATAAAAGCGTGAAAACTGGTCCCAAGATCCTTGTTTCCAGCGCCGCTGCAACTTTGAACGGTCATTAAACGTACCATTGTAAGTTGAGGATGCTGGTTTGATTCCATGCTTAACCCACTTTTTTTTTTAATCAAGAGGTAGGAGAGACCCTCCCCCTCCCCATCTTTGTTCAAAAGAAAACTCTCAAAACGTAAAATCTTAAATCTCGGCTTTCAGGCAGGCAGTTCCTTAACCCCAGACCTTGCAAACCCGGCTAACGGTTCCACGTCCGAATAAGAATAATCGAACGCGACGTTTACATCAGCTCGGCGTTTGCAGGACTTCCACTGTTGGGGTTGATGTCGTTTCCTTACTGCAGGGAAACTGGTTAAGGCTGGAAGCCGGGAGGGTCTTAAAAGTTTAAAAAGAGCTTTTTTCTCTCTCTCTCCTTTTTTCTTTCAAGCCACATTGCCGAATCCCAGTTTCACAGCTATCAGGGCTGACAATGGCAACTGCCATTCCGAAGGCAGAGCAGAAACAATTGTTCTGAATTGTTTCTCCCGATGCCGGATGGATCCTGGAGAGAGAGAGAGAAGCACGTCTAGGAAAAAAACGCCTGTGCGATTTGCACGGTTCTTTAACATGTGAACCGTGCTGGGAAAGGGAGGGAGAGAAAGAGGTGTTTTTACAGGCTGCTCTTTGGACGCAAATAGTCCTCCACTTACAACGAGGTTCATTTAGTGACCGTTCAGAGTCACAACGCCACTGGAAACAGGGACCTAGGACCGTTTTTCACCCTTAACGACCCTTGCATCCTCCTCCACGGTCACGGGATCCCAAAATTCCGCCGCTCGGCAACTGACTCGTATTTACGACGGTTGCAGCGTTCCCCTTCTGAGCAGCCAAGTCTCGCTTAACAGCCGTGTTATTCATTTAACAACGGCAGGGCTTCGCCTAACCAGGGGTGGCAAGAAAAGCTGTCCAACGGGGCCAAACCCACTTAACACATTTCTCTCACTTAGCGACATGAGATGTTGGGCTCCATTGTGGCCGTAAGTTGGGGACCCCCTGTATTTGCAGAATTTGGCTCTGTTTTCCATCCAAGGTCCGAGAAAGTTTTAATGCAACGTGCAATTCTTTCCCTAAGAAATTCTCCCTAAGGTTTTTCCGTGCGGCTGTGTTTCGAATTCAGTATTGGCTGGGAAAAAATATGTGATTTTTAGATATGCAGGAAAAGGCAACAGGAATGTCTCGTTCAGGTGGGGAAAAGCTGTTCGCTCCAAGCTTGGGAGCGAACGGGCGCCATGAATCTTGGTTTCTGATCAGGAGAACATTTCTAGAAAAGTGTATTTTGGGAGGATCCAATTTTGCAATTCTCCACGATGGCTTTTGGGGTCAGAGTTGGTGAGATGGGGTTACTTTCCCCTGTTTTCTTAGCCTTCCGATCCTTGGATGCCCGTGTGCATTTTCTGCCTGCCTCTTTAATGGAGCTCTCCGGGGTCCTGGATCATCTGTTGAAGCCCTGAGACTAGATCGGATCAGCCAAAGCTGTGCGGTTTCTTTGATCTGTAATTGGAAAAAGGAGATGGCATCAGAGGATCTGCTATTGAGAATCAGTCCTGGAAAAGTGGCCCAGATGCTCCCGTGAAGTTGAGGAAAGGAAAGAAGGGAGGGAGGGAAGGAAGGAAGGAAGGAAGGAAGGGAAAGAAGGAAGGAAGGAGGGAGGGAGGGAGGGAGGGAGGGAGGAGAGAAGGGAGGAAGGAAGGAGAGAAGGGAGGAAGGAAGAAAGGAAGAGGTGGAATGTGGGAGGGAGGGAAGGAAGGAAATGGAGCATAGGTAGGAAGGAAGGAAGAAAAGAATGGAATGTGGGAAGGAAGAGAGGGGGAGGGAGGGAGGGAGGAGAGAAGGGAGGAACGGGTGGAACATCAGAGGGAGGGAAGTAAGGAAATGGTGGAGCGTAGGAAAGAAGGAAGGAAAGAGCATTGGGGGAGAATTCTGGGAGTTGAATTCCATGCATCAAGCTGCCAAGGTTGAGAAACACAGGAAGGAAAGAAGGAAGGAAGGAGATGGGAATGAGAAAAGATGGAAAGGGAAAAGGGAAAAAAAATCAGGTTCATGAGGTCTAGAAACCTGTCCTTTTTTAAAAAAAATAAGATGTCATCTGAAGACAGAATCTGTTTCCTTGTGGGGGCGCATAACCTATTTAAACGAATCCAACACCGGCATCTCCTTAAACCAGGTTTAAGCACTGCACTGAGGCAGGGGTGGGATTCACATATGGGAACAATCAGTTCTCTGCGTCGATGCTGCTTCCGGAAGTCCATTCTGGACCTGGGCCACAAAAAATTAGCTACCGGTTCTACCGAACTGGTGCGCAACCGGCTGAATCCCACCACGGCATTGAGGCCTTTGCACCAACAAGCCTCCGAAAAATCTTTTCCATTTTTCCATTTGTAGATAACCCAAAATGTGCAGATTAGGGTGATATATATATATTTATTTTTCTTGCCACCTACATGCTCCTTTTTAATTGCAACCCTCCTGTTGAGCCTTCGGGAAACAGTTCTTCTTTGTAAAAAAAATATTCATCTCTTTTTTTTTTGGGAACCCAAAAAAATCTGGTACTTGGTAGACGGGGAGGACGGGGGGGGAGCAGAAAGTAAGTGCAGGCGGGTTCAGGAAGGAGAAAGACACCCGTGGTGTGAAAATTGCTCCGGCTGGGCACACGGAAGTGAGGGTGTCGGCGTTGCTAGGCATTTTTTCCTGGGCTTCAGTGGGACTCAGCAGGCTTTTGACAGGTGATGGATGTAATTCGTGCTTTGACTGTCACTGGAGCAAAAAAAAAAAAAAAGGATGAATTTTCAAAGCGGGGAGGGGGGGGTTAGAGCTCCGGATCCATAACAGCAAACACGTGCTCCAGAAGTTGTGAATGCTCCAACACTGGAAGTTTTTAAGAGGAGATTGGACAACCGTGTGTCTGAAATGGGATAGGATTTCCTGCCTGAGCAGGGGGATGGACTAGATGACTTCCAAGGTCCCTTCCAGTTCCGATTCTGTTTCTATTCTATTCTATTCCCTATTCTGTTCTATTATTCTGATCTATTCCATTTCATTCCATTTTATTATTCTATTCCATTCTATTCTATTCTATCTCATCCCATCCCATCCCATCCTATCCCATCTAGCCCTGATGATGTTACCTAGTTCTCCTTTATTGTTTTCACTCTCTAATATTGTCTAGATTCTCTACACATTTGCCTAATTCTTTTCCAAAACCCAGCCCCAAAATACCCCTCTGTCTAGTGGCAGCGAGTTCCGAAGTTTCACCCTCCCCATTCTGCACAGTTCTTCCTTCAACCGGCCCTGGATTTTCCCCCCACCCTCTAATTTGAGAACCCCATCTTTGTCTTCCCACAGCGTGTGGGTTTTCTTTACACACGCACACACACACACACACACACCCCCACACACCGCTTTCTCATCTCTCTTTTCCTGTCTTGGCTCCCTGCTCGGAAAGATCCCCCAGTGGTGTCCTTTCCTCCCGGAAGACCCGCTTGCCCTCGCGAGCCGTCTCCGCTGTCCTTTTCTCGCCCCTGGAAAGTCTCTCCTCGTCGTTAACAGCAGCAGGCGACGTTGCGTGGGCAGGGAAGCGCCTATTATGGGCTGGAGTAGAAAGATCCCTTCCAATGAAAGGATTGGGAAGCAGCAAAAGTTCAACTTCTCTACCAGCAGAGGACAAGGGACCTGGGGAGACGTGGGTGGTTCTGGCAACGTCGTCAGCCATGCTGGGCTTCCATAGACTTCTTTTGGGGGGGGGGGAATAGAGAGAGAGAGAGAGAGAGAGAGAGAAAAGAGAATTAAAGCATCTTTTCTGCTCCAGAGACATGCCACCAGAAAAGCGATCCAGCTTGGCAGGATTTTGCAGGCTGTGATGTTCCTGAGAAGATGCCACAGTGGAGAGTGGCAGATGGAGCTGAGGATCAGCCTGTGTGTTTGTGTGTGTGTGTACGTGTGTGTGTGTGTACGTGTGTACGCAGCATGGTGGCTAATGCAGGCAAAGAGGGGCAAATGCCAAAGTTATGAAATTTAGACTAGACTAGACTAGAATATAGAATATAGAATAGAATATCGAATAGATATGATAGATAGATAGATAGATAGATAGATAGATAGATAGATAGATAGATAGATAGATAGATAGATAGATTAGACAGACAGATAGATATAGATATATGCATATAGATACATAGATATACATACATACAAATGTATTCATTGTTTTACTTGTACATGAGATTAACTGAGTCCAGCAATCTGCAAACTTCCCAGGTGTCGCTGGAAACCCCAACACCTATCATCCTTATCTGCAGGGGCCGATGGGAATTGGGGTTCAACAACCTCCAGGGCTAACGTCTAAACTCCCAAATGTGCTGCTCTCAGTTTAAGGGTGTGGATAAAACATGAGGCACGGACTCCCCTGTGCTTTCAGGGCGCAGGCAGGTCTGGGTGCAAATTCTGCACCCTGTTTTATTTACTTTTTCATCCTTCCCTTACGGAACGTCCACATACGTTTCACGATGCTCGGGAATGACGGTTGTTGGTTATAATGGGTGGATCTGCTGCGTGATTTTTTTATCCCCCCCCCCCCCGCAAACAAGGATATTTTCTGAATTCCTTTCTCTCTCTCTCTCTCTCTCTCTCTCTCTCTCTCTCCCTTTCTCTAGATAATCGCCTTTGACGAATTGCACATAGATTTTAAGAATCCCATCGACCAGGGCAATCCAGCCAGGGCAGTAAGTCTAAACATATCATGTCCGAGGTGTGTCTGTCTCTGTCTCCATTTGTTTGTCTTTTCCCTCTCCTTTCCTGCTTTTCTCTTCCAGGTTCTCCTTCCCCGCTGGTCAAAAAAGAAAAAAAATAGCAGAAAAAAAATTTATTTATTTCCTCCGTTTGGTTGGATGGCCTGTAGGATACACCTATGGCAAAGTCCTTTTTTTTTTTTAAATTTTCCCTTTTATATCGACCCAAATGCATTCAAGAGGGTTTGCACCGCGGTTCTGCTGTAATTTCTGTAGAGATATACAGAGGTTCCTCGAGTGAATTGCTGAAATAATTTAGGAAGAGATTGATTGCACAGCCATTTGTCAGGAACGGCTGACAGCTCAAAGAGGGGGTGGACTAGAGGATCTCCAGGGTCCCTTCCAACTGTTATTCCGTATTCTGTAACATAGGCAATCCTCGGTTTAAAACAGTTCATTTAGTGATAGGTAGATAGATAGGTAGGTAGACATGATTGATAGAGAGAGAGAGAGAGAGAGAGAGAGAGAGAGAGAGACAGACAGATGATAGATAGACAGATGATAGATAGATAGATATGTTGGACAGATAGAGAGATGATAGATGATAGAGAGATGATAGATGATAGATAGATACAGTAGATAGGTAGGTAGGTAGATAGATGATAGATAGATAGATGATAGAAAGATAGAAAGATGTTGGATAGATAAAGATAGAAAGATGTTGAATAAATAAAGATAGAAAGATGTTGGATAGATAGACAGATGATAGATAGACAGACAGATGATGATAGAAAGATAGATGTTGGATAGATAGAGATAGATCATAGACAGATGATAGATGATACATAGACAGACAGATCACCTTTATTGTCATTTTTTTACTGTGGGCACAATGGCACACCTTAAACATGAAATTTAGTTGCTTGCTCTCAAAGTATACACATACATAACACACATTTAAACATACTATATAGCACGGTTGTTAAATGAATCTGTCTTCCCCCTGGACTTTGCTTGTCAGACGGTCGCAAAAGAGGACCGTCATAAACGTGAGTCAGGTGCCAAGCGTCCGAATGTAAATCACGTGACCGCGCGGGAGGCTGCGACGGTCGTCAGTGTGAAAAACAGGCTTAAGTCCCTAACTTTGAACGGTCTCTAAACAAACTGTTATAAATCCAGGACTCCGGTAAGGTCTCTACCTATATTGGGGCCTGTTTCTTTTAAAGCCATTTAAATCCGAGTTAAAAGTGGGAATTAGCCAAAAGGTCACGAGAAGGAACCAGCAAATGCATCGGGCGACGTCAGACACAGGAGAAGAATCTCTGGATTCCTTTTGCGAGCTACGTTGCGACCCGGAAGTTGCAAACAAAACAAGGAGAAAAAAGAAGAAGTCCTAGCAGCTGAATTTGCACCATGGCCTCTTAACTACGAGAAAATATCCCATTTGATTCGGATAAGGAACCCCTTTGAACACAGAGGGGCTTTTCCCCACCACCTCATCCCAGGGTGGGTGAGGCCCAAGCAGCATTTAAATTTAATTTAATATCGTTTCGGTGGAAAATTAACATAAGCTCCAACGGCTTACAAGCGGGATTTGTAATTTTGCTGCTCCATCTGTTGCACGGAAATTGGCAAATTGGAGGGGCTGTCAAGTCCTGGAAGACACTGCTCCTGCTGTTAAGTGTGCGTGTGTGGTTTTGTGTGTGTGGCGGGATAAGCTTTGAACTGGAGGAAAGGATTTGTTAATTAAGCCAATTCATGCAGCCGCCCATCTTTCAAACGGCAACTCGGGGGTGGGGTGGAGTTGTGGCGTAGCACCGAACTTGCGTGCTGCGTGCATTGTTCACTGGATCACTGCAATTTGTTAAGTGAAGAACACGGTCGTTAAACGAATCTTTCTTCCCCCGTTGACTTGGCTGGCCAGACGGTCGCCAAAAGGGATTGCGTGACTCCGGGATGTTGCAACCGTCATAAATACTGAGTCAGTTGCCGACGGTCTGAATTTGGAGCTGCAACAGTCGTAAAACTGAAAAACGGTCCCAGGTCTCCTTTTTCAGTGCCGTCGTAATTCCGAACGGTCACTAAACGAAACATTGTCAGTCAAGGGCTCCCTGTAATATCTCTGTTTTTATTCCTCTCTTGCTGGGAGTCTGTCTTTCCTAGAGGTGTGAATGTCTTATTTTATATTTTATTTTATTTTATTTTTATTTGGCTTCCCAGCCTATAATTCATCGGGAAATTGCCAATTTCAATCACCGTGTCTGAAGGTTCTTTTAGGGCTGCAGAAAATGCATGACTTCAGTCACTAAGTGGACAGTTTTAAGTCGAGGACTGCAATACTTGGGTCTTTTCTCTCTTTTTTGGTGTAGTTTGCAATTTTCCAGGGGAGTTTTGAGGCAGGAGGGGGAAAGGAGCTGTTTTCATCAGCTTTTCGCTAGACGAAGGCTCTGAATTTCTTGAGAAAAGGCGAAGCCCCTTTAAAAAAATAATAATTCAGAATCCAGATTCTCATCCCAGGCGGATTTGCTTAAACGGTTTCCTGCAGGCGAGGAAGCCCCTGTGAGCTAAAAGGAGAACATTGCAAGGTTAGCAAAAGGCACTTTTGACAAGTCCCAGATCTTTGCAAACGCCTCGAAATTGTGATGTCTCTCGGCTGGCCCATCGGCTTCCTCAGGGTATAAATAGTGCGGTCTGACCTCGATTTTTTTTTTTATTTTTTATTTCCTTCCAATCCCGCCGGGCGCAGAGCGAGGTGGATGCCCTGGATCTAAAAAACATTGCATGCTCCGGAGCGCGCAGGTGGAAAAATCGAAGGCTGTCGCCGTGCTTTTCTCACTGTCTTTGCACGAAAAAAAAAATAATAGCCCTGGAAAGTTTTGCATGCCAAGGCGAAGAAAAATTAGGCAGAGATTTGAACTCCAAAGGAAGAGGGATTTCCTGCCCTTTTGAGCTAAGGAGCGCAGACGGTCCCTTGAAAGCCTGGGTTGAATTAAGAGAGGGAGAGAGTCAAGATCACGTGAAGGGTTAATACCACTTTATAATGCCTTACTAAGGCCACACTTGGGAGTTCTCAGCTTACGACTACATTGGGAGTAGGAGGAGAACAACAACTATATGGCGTCCTTGGTCTCTCTGTGCTTCGTGATTTTCTTGCAGGCATTGCATTGCCAAACTAGATAACCTCATCAGTGCTAGAAGGGAGAAGGGTTTGCGAGGAGGAGGAGGAGGAGGAGATGATGTGGGATCCTTGATGCTCTCTGAACTTGGTGGTTTTCTTGCAGACGTTTCACGACCCAACTAGGGAACATCATCAGTGCTAGAAGAGAGTGGGGTTTTTGGAGAGGAGGAGGAGGAGTGGGAGGAAGAGGAGGAGGAGGAGATGATGATGTGGGGTCCTTGATGCTCTCTGAACTTGGTGGTTTTCTTGCAGACGTTTCACGACCCAACTAGGGAACATCATCAGTGCTAGAAGGGAGTGGGGTTTGCAGAGAGGAGGAGGAGGACTGTGGGGTCTTTAGGCTGTCTGAGCTTGGAGGTTTTCTTGCAGACATTTCATCACCAAACTAGGTAACGTCATCAGTGCTAAGGAGAGTGGGGCTTGCTCTCTGCAAACAAGCGACTTGCACATAAACAGAGAGCAAATCCACTTCCTTCCAGCACTGATGTTAATTAATTACTTGGCTAACAAAATGTCTGCAAGCAGACAGCCAAGCTCGGGGAGCACCAAGGACGCCACAGTTCAGCCCTGAGTCAGAAACAGTCTACTCCTGTTGATAACAAACAAAGCTTAGGACTTTCAGTTCCCGAATTCAGTTAGAAGTTGGACCTGCCAAACGTGACGGGGCGCCCACTTCACAACTCCACAACCTGGGCTGTGTCACGAGAACGGGGAACTTTAGTTCTCAGCTTCCATCTGGAAGCCGTCAGCTCCCTTTTCCGTGATTTTGCAGCTCAGCAGCCTTGCCCCGCCCGTTCTTGCACGCATCGCTTCCCTCAGTCTTCCCCATCTGTAAAATGGGCTTCAGACATGGGGTGTTTTTTTCGCGATGCCCGAGCGACCGTACCACAAAGGCCCGTTCTTCAGAGGCATGTGGCTTTTTTTCTCCCTCAAATGTCTGAAAAATTAAAATAAAAAATAAAAACGTCGAGGTTAGGACTAACTTGGCGGATTGAGTGTCTTTTTCGGTGGGTTTTGCAAAAAGGGGGAAAATCTTTTTTTTTTTGCAGCCCCCCCCAACTTAAGTCACCCAACCCTTCTCTTTCCTCCATTGTACTCATCCCTGCCCTAAGCGATGGTTTCAACCTGTTTTATATTTCCCTGCAGAGAGAGAGGTTGAAAAATGTGGAACGGATCTGTTGTCTTTTGAGAAAAGTGAGTATGGCGCCTTTTTCCACTGCATTTAACTTTCTTTCCCCCCCCCCCAAAGATTCCTCTCTAAGGAGCGCCAGTTTCTTGCTCTGTTTGTCCAAAGCTGAAGGAGCCGAAGTGTTAATATTGCTTTCTAATGCCTTAGTAAGGCCACACCTGGAATGTGGCCTCCAGTTTTGGTTTTCACAATATTAAAAAAAGATGCTGAGCGTCTGGAAAGAGGGCAGAGAAGAGCAGCAAAGATGATTGGGGGACAGGAGGCTAAAACAGAGAAAGAATGGTTGCTAGAATTGGGTTTGATTTGTTTAATGAAAAGAAGGACCAGGGGGAACATGATAGGAGCCTTCCAATATTTGAGGGGCTGCCCCAAAGAAGAGGCAGGACAAGAAGCAACGGATGGAAACTAAACAAGAAGTAATCTAGAAATAAGGAGAAATTTCCTGACAGAATATCTTCCTTCCCTCCTTCCTTCCTTCCTTCCTTCCCTCCTTCCCTTTTCTTTCTTCTTTCCTTCCCTCCTTCCCCTCCCTCCTTCCCTCCCTCCCCTTCCCCTTCCTTTCTTCTTTCCCTCTCCCTCCTTCCCTTCTTTCCCCTTCCTTCTTCTTTCCCTCTTTTCCTCCTTCCCTCCCTCCTTCCCTCCCTCTTCCTCCTTCCATTCTCCTTCCTTCTGTCCTTCCCTCTTTCCCTCCTTTTCTTCCCCTTCCTTCCTTCCTTCCTTCCTTCCTTCCTTCCTTCCTTCCTTCCTTCCTTCCTTCCTTCCCCTTCTTTCCATCCTTCCCTTCCTTCCTTCCCTCCTTCCCTTCCCCTTCCTTCCTTCCTTCCTTCCTTCCTTCCTTCCTATCCATCTATTCTAGCCATCCATCCATCTACCCATCCATCTCCTATTTTTATCTCTCTCTCTCTCTCTCTGTGTGTGTGTGTGTGTGTGTGTGTGTGTGTGTGTCTAGCCATCCATCCATCCATCTTGTACCTTTTTCTCCCTCCCTTCCTCCTTCCCTTCCTCCCTCGCCATCTCTGAAATGCAAGTACAGGTATCAGTAAGATCCAGCTTCTCTCTCTTGTTCTTAACAAAGTTCTGACTTTCTAAAATGGGCTGTAAACCAACCCAGGGTATTTGGGGGCGCTCACCGCCAAGGGTTATTCTTGTCTGGAAGTGTGGCTATGTACAAATAGACGCACGCACATACACACACACACTACAAAGGGAGGTCTGTTCCTCTCAAATCTGTTGCAGTTTGTTCCTGTCAGTCTAAATTAAACTGAAATGAAGGAAGTGGTTTATGCATTGGGGTTAGTGATGGGGAAGACTGTCATCTCTGCTCAGAGGTTCAGTTTGGGCAAAATTATCCAAAAGAGATTAGTTCAGCCTGGTGTAAGAAAAGCCTTAATTTGACCCTCCTTCTATCTTGAAATCAACACAATAATCACAATATATTGCATTATATTGTTGCATTATTATAATACATTATGCTGCATTACTATATTACATTATTGCATTATACATTATGCTGCATTCTTATATTGCATTCTTACATTGCTTTATATTGCGTTGTTATGCATTATTATGCTGCATTACTATATTGTATTATTGCATTACAATACATTATGCTGCATTCTTATATTGCATTAATAGACTGTATCATTATATCCTCATATTGCACTCTTACGCTGCCTTATTTTACTACATATTTACGCCATTTTATACTGCATTATTGCCATATTATTCTTGCATTATTACCCTGCATTGTTCTTAACATTATCATTTATTTTTGCAAAAGCATATCTGGCTTAGAAACCAAATGTCAGCTAGTTCAGACTGCCATTTCTGATCGAGCGACGTTTGGTAGCGTTTCCATCGCAAGCCCGTCCAATCTTAGGTTTATGACAGGGATGTTGTGACACCTGACAATAAAACGTTAGGCTGTTCACACGACTGTCGCGAATTCATTAGTCAGCCAGGGATTATTAATAAGCGTAAAACCTAAGCTTGATTTTTTTTTCTTTCTCATCTTTTCCATCTGAGTTTTTATTTTATTTTATAAGATTAAAGGTTGCCTTGTTAATGATGCAAGCCCCAAATAAATAAAACGAGGGGAGAAAAAAAATCATTATTTTTTTTTTTGGGAGGCAGACGTGGCATCTCTGCAAAAATCCCTTTTGATAACGTTGGCAATCGCTCCGATTAGAAAAGGGAGCATCAGATAAATCCGTTTATATCAGAAAGGATTTTGGGCAGAGAAAGAAACGTATTGCTGGGTAATTTGTGCTGTGGGGGATTTTCTGAGGATAATGGTTGTGCATCCAAGGGGTTGCGAACCAACCGTAGGAACAGAACGAAACAACCGCCACAAAAATCTCAGCTCTTTCCATCTGATGGGGGAATTTGATGTTTCTTTTCCGACAGCTTGTGGTTCCGGAATATTCGATCCACGGACTTTTCTGTCTGATGTTCCTCTGTGCAGCTGAATGGGTGACTCTGGGCCTCAATATCCCTCTCTTGTTCTACCATTTGTGGAGGTAACCCCCCCCCACCCTTTTATCCCTCCCGGTGGCCTCCTTCACCAGGGGGGGCTTCCCAGAAGACACCAGCAAGCAGCATCAGGGGGCAGCTGGCCAGGCACAGTTGCAAATTTTTAAAAAAGTATTTTTTTTAATTTTTGTGTTTAAAGAAGGATTTTGCTTCTTTTCCTTCCTTCCTTCCTTCCTTCCTTCCTTCCTTCCTTCCTTCCTTCCTTCCTTCCTCTCTCCTTTCTCAATCTCTTTTCCTTCCCTCCTTCCTCCCTCCCTCCTTCCTTTCCCATTCCCCTCTAATCCTTCTTTCCTTCCTCCCTCTCCTTTCTCACTCTTTTCCTTCCTTCTTTCTCTCTCTCCTCCCTCCCTCCCTTCTTTCCCCTCTAATCCTTCTTTCCTTCCTCCCTCTCTCCTTTCTCAGTCTCTTTTCCTTCCTTCCTTCCTTCCTTCCTTCCTTCCTTCCTTCCTTCCTCCCTCCCTCCCTCCCTCCCTCCCTCCCTCAAGTGACCCCAGGATGCTTCCCCCATCACAAATAAATTTAATAAATAAAAATCAAATCACTCAATAAATATGTTCTGGTTGCCAAGCACCTGAATCATAAACCTGTGATCATGGTCATAAGTAGAGAACCAGTTGTAAGTCACTTTTTTCAATGCCATGGCCACTTTGAACAGTCCCTAAGCGAAGATAAATAAATTCGAGGACTTAAACCTGTAGAAACTTCTTCCTGTACTGAAAATGAGAAAAAAGTTGGGAAGTTTTCTTTTGAACAGATGCTATTTTGTCGTTTATACGTCATTAGGCAATGTGTACGTCCTTGTTTGTGGCAGTGTGCAAAAATAGACCTTAGCGGGGCAAATATGCGTATATATTTTCTATATATCGAAATAGCTAGTTTTGGTTCTAAAAAAACAACAGATGGGACATCCTCCTGATTCTGTTTTGGAAATTAGATTCCAGGGTGTGGAAGAGAAAAAGCTTGGCGTTATCAAATAGAAAGTAGCAGGAATCCAATTAAATCCCAAATTTTAAAAAAGTCCCCAAAACTCAATTATTTTTTTTCCTTCTGTCTGAGTGTTGAGTTGGTGAGATTTGATCTCGTGATGATGAACTCATCACGAGATCTCATGAAGGTCCATCCTAATAAATTCTCGCTGCTTTGTTTTAATTTGGAGCAACCCACTCCGTGTGTGATGGGCTTTCTTCTGCGGTGCAAAACCTCAGAACTGTGGTTGAAGTTGGTCATGTCGGGGTCAAAAAGGGTCATTTTGAGGTTGCGCTAGGCCATTGTGAGGTCACAACTGGTCATTCTGAGGCCACAGTTGGTCAATCTGAGGTCAGAATTGCTAATTTTGAGGTTGGAATTGGTCATTCTGAGGACACAATTGATCAGTCTGAGACCACAGTTGGTCATTTTGAGGTCAAAATTGGTCATTCTGAGGACACAATTGATCAGTCTGAGACCACAGTTGGTCATTTTGAGGTCAAAATTGGTCAGTCTGAGGCCACAGTTGGTCATTCTGAGATCAGAATTGGTCATTCTGAGGACACAATTGGTCATTTTGAGGTCAAAATTGGTCATTCTGAGATCAAAATCGGCCACGCTGAGTTCAGTTAGCCATTTTGAGGTAAAAAAAATTGGCCCTTTTCAGATCCGAGTTAGCCAGGTTGAGGCCACCATTGGTCAGAATTGGACATTTTACAAGCCTCTGATTTTTTTTTCTTTTTCTTTATTCTTGTCTGCCTTTCTTCTCCCAGGTACTTTCACCGCCCGGCAGATGGTTCTGAAGTCATGTACGATGCCGTCTCTATCATGAATGCTGACATCTTAAATTATTGCCAGAAAGAATCATGGTGCAAACTGGCTTTTTATCTGTTGTCTTTCTTCTATTACCTGTACAGGTGAGTCCCTATTTTTACAGCTCTCCACAGCTGTTTAGATTTTGCCCCGCTTTTCTCTCACTGGTTATCCAAAAGTCACTAGAAACATTGCCACAAATAAGATAGTTCTCGACTTAATGACAGGAAGGAAAGAAGGGAGAGAAAGGAAGGAAGGAAGGAAGGAAAGGATGGATGGAAGGGAGAGAGGGAGGGAGGAAAGAAAAGGAAAGAAAGGAAGGAAGGAAAGGAAGGAAAGGATGGATGGAAGGGAGAGAGGGAGGAAAGAAAAGGGAAGAAAGGAAGGAAAGAAGGAAGAAAGGGAGGAAAGGAAGGAAGGGATGGAAAGAAGGGAGGAAGGAGGGGAGGGAGGAAAGGATGGGAGGGAGGGAGGAAAGGAAGGAAAGAAGGAAGGGAGGGAGGGAGGGGAAGGAGGGAGGGAGGATTTGTACGTCAGGTTGCTCGGATTAACAGCCCCTTCCTCTTTCTCCTTTCCGCCTCTCGCCGTCCAGTATGGTTTATACGCTGGTGAGTTTCTAACCTAGCCAACCAAAGGGGCAGGACCCTCCAATCGACACCCCCCCTTTGGACCCTCCGGGATGAATGGAGACCCCCCCTTTCCTTCTGGACTTTGAAACGCAAAGCCAAGACGGACTCACCCGTGCCTGAAGCCGATCAAGCCACCACCGCCTTTTTTTTTTCCAGAGGGGTGGAGCGTATTTCTGTTCCCCCCCCCGCCGCCCCCCCGTGATCCAGAAAACACCCCCCCACCCCCGTTATGATTTGGAGAAAGAAGCCAGCATCCTCCTCACGGCTGGACGCTTCCAGCTGCGTCCCCACTGAACTTTTTGGGGAAAGTCTGCAAATGGATTTGGGGTGCAGAAGATCCCCTTATCTCCCCCCCCTTCCATCTTCGCCCAGCTTATCGGCTCAGCTTCGAGTTTCTTCTCTTCCCCCCCTTTTTTGGGGGGTGGTGGTGATCTGGGGGCCAAAAATCCATTTCTCCAACAAAACAAACGAGGAAGGGAAAACCCACCACAAGGAAAAGCCCAAAATTTGGCAGCTATTTAATTGATTTTGTGCTCGGGGTCCCGGAGGGAGAAATATTTTTTTGGGGGGGGTAGCCTTCTCCCCTCTTCCCTCTGGAGAATGTCCTGTAGGATTTGGGGGGGTGGGCTGGGATGCCCCCCCCCCCAAATGGGCTGTTTTCTTTCCCTCTTTTTTTATTCCGGATGCTCTCCTCCAGCAAAGTGATGCCGAGTCCAGCATCTGTTGCTATGGCAATAGATCAGCCTCTCTCTCTCTCCCCTCCCTCCGCTTTTCTTTCTTTTCCTTTTCACGCGCTCTGTCGTTTTCATCCCGTTTTCCCTCAAAATTACGAGCATCTCCATTGAGGAAAGCCAGCGTCTTGTCTGAGATTAGACCACCATCTGTCAGAAATTATGTAGGGTCTCCTGCTTGGGCAGGGGGTTGGACTAGATGACCTCCAAGATCCCTTCCAACTCTGTTATTCTATTCTATTCTTTGGGGAGGGGAGTGCATTTTCATATTAGAAAGACCTTCCCCCCTGCGATAATCAAGTTTTTTAAATCATTCATTTAAAAACAATAAACTATGTAATTTGCTGGCTGGGGAATTCTGGGACTCGAAGCCCACAAGTCTTAAATTTGCCACATTTGGAGACCCAGCCTTAACCCAAATTAGCACAAACCACCCAAAAGATTGTCTCCCCCCTCCCGCCCCCAATTTCTTTCTTTTTCCCATATATTTTTCCATCTAGTTCTCTTTTTTTTCCCTCTCCATCCTTGCATTTGGGGTGGCTTGTTCGGCAAAGCACCCAGCTTGCGACGGGCTGACCAAACGGAGCAGGCAGGAGCTGAAACTCTGGATTTTGGGGTGAGGGAGGGGGAGACTGCTGGACCCCACTTCTACCCCTCCTGGGGGCCACTGTATAAAACAAAGTCCTGTTGGAAATAAAGACGATGATTTGATTGTGGCCAGGAGTTCCGCTGTCTTGTGTGAACGAAAAGAAGGTGGATTTCCTTCGGAAATTTGCTGGCTCACCTGGAAGGCGTCTGGACACCTGGAGTGGGGGTGCCACCTTGATAGTTCTCGACGTAGCGACTGGAGTTACAAGAGCACCAGAAAAGGTGACTTACGACCGGTCCTCGCCCTTATGACTGTCGCAGCATCCACGTGATTACGTTGTCAGGATTTGGGTGCTTGGGAATTGGCAGGGGTTTATGGAAGGAAACGGGGGGATGGCAGAAGGAAGGAAGGAGAGAAATAAGGAAGGATTGATTAGAGTGGGGAAGGAAGAAAGGATTAGAGAAGGAAGGAAGGAAAGAAGGAAGGAAGGAAGGAAGGAAGATTAGAGGGGAGAAAGGATTAAAGAAGGAAGGATTAGAGGAAGAAGGAAGGAAAAGGAAGGAAGGATTAGAGGGGGAAGGAAGAAAGGATTAGATGAAGGAAGGAAGGAAAGGAAGATTTAGAGGGGAAGGAAGAAAGGAGAAATGAGGATAGAAGGAGGGGAAGGGAGTGATAAACATGGTGAAAGAAAGGAAAGGAGGAAGAGGGAAGCAGCAAAGGAAGGGATATAGAGGGGGAAGGAAGAAATACAAAAGGAAGGAAAGAAGATGGAGGTGGGAAGGAAAGCAGGAAGGAGAGAAAGAGACGGGTGAAGGAGGAAAGGCATGGAAGGAAGAGGAAGGGAATTCCAAAAAGGAGCGAGGGAGGAGAAGGAAGAAAGGAAAGCAGTGAGGAAAGAAAGGAAGGAAAAAAGGAGAGGGAGAGACGTCAGTAAATAACGAAGGAGAGGAAGGAAGGCACCTTGGGTGCAAAACCGGATATCCAGATGGGGGGGGGGGGCTTTCCTCAAACCTGGTGGGTTATTGCTGGGTGTCCCCCCCCCAAAAAAAAATCCAAGCAGCCACTGCAGGGGGGGGGGAAAGGAAATGTGGGTGCTGTGTGCGTGCACACACGTGCAAAGAGCACAAGAGAGCCGTGTCACGGTATTGTATTTCCATCCAGCCACCCCCACAGCATTGAGTTGTCTTTCTCTCTCCCCCAGCTATGATGCTCTTGGAAACACTGCAACCATCCTGACATACACACACACACACACACACACACACACACACACACACAAAGCACATGGGGGAGGGCTTTCTGTCCCCAGGCCTAGAACAGCTAGTTTTCCTTTCCTCCTCCTCGTCCCCCCCCCTTTTTTGTATTAGTGACACCCCAAACACGCTGGAGGAAACTGAGGCCTGCCCCCCCTTTGCATGCACTTGCCTGCAGGACCGACCGCCGTAAGCATGAAAATTATTTTAAGGCGCCTGGATTCCCAGCTTAGGTAGCGAAGGCTTCCGATGCGACATACCGCAAGTCCTCACTTTGCAACGGTTCATTTAGTGACCGTAACGGCACTGGGAAAAAAAGGGACTTGGGACCGTTTTCCCCCACTGAACGACCGTTGCAACCCCACATGATCCAAAGTCAAGATGCCTGGCAACTGACTCGTATTTACGACGGTCGCAGCGTCCCGTGTGTGTGTGTGTGTGATGTGATCCCCTTTTGCGGCTTTCTGATCAGCAATGGGGAAGCCAGATCCGCTTAACGACCGGGTTACTAACTTAACACCACAAGGATCCACTTTAACCACAGTGGCGGAGAAAAGTCACAAAAGTAGGAGCAAAGCTCAGTCTCACTTAGTGACTGAAAACCTGAGCTCTTGGGCAGTCGTAAAGCCGAGGACTACCTGCAAGAAGAACGAGAATAACCCTCCTTCTCTACATTTGCAAATCGCCAGCCATTTTGGGGGGGCTAGGAAGGCCAGCTCTGCTCCCCCAAAACGGGACATTAAAGATAATCCAGAGCAGAGGGAAAATAAAAAATAAAAAGAAATGAGGATTTGAAAATGATGGTTGGAGAAAACACCATTTCCTAAACCCAACAAAAAGACACATCAGGATTTCTTTTGTGTTCCCTTGCCAAGCGACGTGTTCCCCCCCCCATTGGTTTTTTTTTTTTTTTTTTTTGCAAAATGTTCTTTTCAAATGCCAGCGGAGGTTGCCACCTAGCTCAGGAAAAATGGAATTATTTTTCCTTCTTATCTACAGGCTCTTCCCTCCAGCGCTGAGCAGGTGCCGGGAGAAACCTTAAAATTTCTATTTTCCGTGAAAATAGGAGGTACCCCAAGAATTGGGGAATGGAGAGGGGGCTTTTTTGGAATTAACAGCCGGGAAGAAAAGGTTTTAAAATGCCAAAATACTGTAAAGCCTCAAACCTTCAATTTAACCTGTTGTTTTTCTTTCTTCGCAACGGATCTTTGCTCTCTGCTGCAAACTAGCAACGGATGCCGAGAAGAATAATCTCCTCCTCCTCCTCATTTTGGACTGCAGCTCCCATCATCCTGGCCCAGAGGACGGGGATGTGGAGAGCTGGATTCCTCAAACTGTTCCAGGGTGACAGGATCGGGACTGGCGCTTTTGTTGCTAAGCCACGTGGTCAGCGTTCAACGAATTGCAGTTTCACCTTTCACGGGGGTCCTTAAGCGAATCGCATGGCCATTAAGCCCCAGGTGGCTTCCTTCCGCTCATTTCGCTCCTGGGGGGGGTTGTAAATGGCGATCCACGCGACGGTCGTAAATTCACGCCGGGGGTGTGTGGACGGTTCAAAACTTTGACTGTGTTGATGCTGCAACGGACATATGTTGGAGGACCGATTGCAAGTCGCTTTTTTTTCCAGCTTCAAACGGCCATTAAGCGGAACGGCCGTTAAGCCGAGGACAGCCTCACTTTAACTCGCCTTTTGAAACGTTGACTTTTATTTAATGACCATTTGAAGTCACGACACCAGTGGGAAAACGTGACTTATGGTCCTTTTTCGCACTTAGGACCGTTGCAGCATCATGGGATCAAAAATCCGGACCCTTGGCAACTGACTCGTATTTATGACGGTTGTCGCAGTGTCCCGGAGTCACGTGATCCCCCTTTGCGACCTTCGGAAAAGCAGGAGCCCGATTCGCTTAACAGCCATAAGTTACTAACTTATCAAGTGAGCGATTCGCTTAAGGACTGCGGAAGGAAGATTGCAAAACGGGACAAAACAAATGGCTCCATTGCGGTCGTACGTCGAGGACTACCTGTACTCAGATCCCTTCCTGGTGATCAACCCTGGGAAAACAGGAATCCTGTTTTGGGAATGCTGGGAAAAATCCAGCCGCTTGCAGAGGAAACGTCTTCAAAATAAAATACATACAGGACACACCTTCGCCAGTTTTGTTCTGCCCACTGCAGAGTTTTATAAACTTTTATCACACGTGCAAGAAAACCAAAAAAATCCGTCAAGGGAACGACGGTAGAAAATCAAACAGAGATTCCTCTCCTCACCCCACAGGCGAGTCCAACCCAAACTCTTCACACTTCAAATTTTATTTTATTTTATTTTTTTCATCTCTGCCTTTGCATCTTTTTTCACTTCTCGGCAATGAAGAACCATACTGGATTAGTTCTAGATCGGTGCTTCTCAGTCTCAGCCCCTCGGAAAATAGGTGGACTTCAACTCCCAGAATTCCTCAGCCAGCATGGAATGCTGGGACTTGAAGCCCACCCATCTTCACGGTGGAGAAACACCATTTCTACACCCACAATCCTGGCGAGAAGACCACCAGTGGAGACAGCAAAAACAGAAAATCCATATTTTTGTGCTAGAAAGGCTCAAAATTCATCCAACTCAAGTAAATCCTGAACTGCCTCTATAAGTAAGACCGCCGAATCTACCCCATTTTTTAAAAAAAAAAACACAACAAAAAGGGGACTTCAATTTTGGAGTTGTGGACAAGCGTCAACTGGGACAGCGGGACAGCTTCCGCTGCTCCTGGTTGAGAAGAGTCACGAGTGCGAATGACCCGCTGCCTTTAGCGTCATTCTTCAAGGGGATGGATCCCCCGCTTGTCCTCCGTGGAGCCCCATGCTTGAATTTTTGGGGAGGGGGGCCCAGGAAGAGAACTAGGGGAGCGGCGAAATTAGGGGTGAACTGAAACAGAAAAAGGAGGAAGTGCACCCCAAAGTCTCCTCCGTTTAATGCACCAACTGGGCCGTCAACCAGTACAAAACCAAAGGCTGAAAGACAGCGGCGCCTAGCGTGACATACATCTGCGCCCGTCCGGTGGTCCGGCTCAGTCCATCTTGTACCACCGAAGTGAGGATCTTCATCCGTAAGGAACGCACCTGGGTGGGCAGAGACGGGCATCAGAAGCATGTTTAGATGGGCACCTTGTTTGTCAACTAAATCTCTCAGCGCCTAGCTGGCTTGAGGGTGGAGTTCCTATGTCCATCATGCACCAAAGGGAGGGGATATGAAATCTACCTTGGCTTGAGTTTAACTTTGCTTTTATAATTTTTAAATAGCTCAAGGTGACGGACTTACCTAATCTTCCTTCCTTCTTTCTTCCCCCCCCTTCCTTCCTCCTCCTTGCTCCCCTGCACCACAACCCTTTGAGGTGGGTTGGGCTGAGAGAGGGAGGGACTGGCCCCCAAAGTCACCAAATCATTCGTACCACCCTGAACACAGTCGGACTCACCATGAAATACATAAGAGAACAGGACGCCCATGCCAGAGTAATGTAGTAGCCATTCAGCCCAAAAATTAAGCCCCCGACCAGACTGAGGATCATTCTGGAGAGGAGAAATAAAGAATTGTGTGTGTTTTGTGTGTGCACTTAACACATCCTTCCAAACTGGGCAAACTTTACACCCAAGAGCAAAGAACGAGCCGTTCTCCCAATGCTGAATCACAGCAAAGGATCTTCATTTAACAGACGTCTGATGCAACGGACAAATCCTTCTGAAATAACGGACAGCTCCACTGTATCCATAACACTCTTAAGCGGTGCTTAAATTTAATTTTGAATTGAACAAAGTTAATTTCTGTTCTATTCACATCCTCCTCAATACTCAAGACATGCTGTTGAGGTTCTTCGCAGTTTGCCAACAGCTTCTTTGGGATTTAACAGACTTTCTCTCCCAATTTGTTAAGTCAGGAATTTGCCGCTACTCACCCAGCCTCAAATTGGTTGGACAGCTATAGGAAACAGCGTCGAATTCAAGGAGCTTGTGTCAGTGGGGGCTTCTGGGAAACAGACTCTAATCCGCGAAGCAGAGAGGTCCTTCCTAACTCACCCAACATATTTGTAGCCGCAATAAGCCAGAAGATCAAACGTGCCCAGATCACTTTGGACCGTGGCAAGGTAGAGACCCAGGAGAAGGGCGAGAACTTCGATCACCATCCACACGAAGGCCGTGCTGGCGCACATCCCGAGGACCTCCGGGGAAAACCTGGGCGGGTGGAAAAAGTGACGCCCGAATGATTCACGGTCTGGCTTCCAACAGGCCAGCAGGTGTCCACAAGAGACAACTCACAACCATCCCAGCCTGACAAGTCAAGTCAATGGGGGAAGCCACATCCCCAACACTCATCTGATCAAAATTCGGACGCTTGGGCCCCTGGTTCACACTTATGACGGTTGCAGGGTGGCCAAAACACAGGTCGTAAAATGGGATGAAAACCCATTTAAACTCATGTAAATCGAGGTCCACTTACAATCTGCTCCTTGCCGAATTCTACATTATGCCCGGCCTCAAATCTTCCACCCACAACCCAAACTCACTTCCTAACCTCCCCCGCTTTTGGTAAGATGCAAAACTGGGAAGCAATAAAAGAATTTTTCCGTACCTTTTCTGTATCCCCAGGGCCATCCCTGCCAGCAAAATATACGTAATGAAGGCCATACCTGTGGAGGAGAAAATATTATTTAAAAAAAAAAGCCTCCAGATTTTGGAGTTGGAAAGCGTTTTTGTTTTCAATAGCAGAACTACAATATTGTGATTTTATTTTTTTTAAAGAGCAAGGTCCAACAGGAATGTATTCTACCAGATGGATTTCTCCAGCCCTTCCGTAATTAAAAGTACAAAATCAAAGTCCGTGGTTAGATAATGTCTTGCGATTACCTCTTTGTCCCATAAAATGACAAGAGTCTAGGTTTTTTTTTTTTAAAAAAAATAAAATAAAATTGCTCCTAGCAAACCTAAACTAGCAATTCTACCTTTGGCTGGTTGAACATCACTTATCTGATCGATTTAATCGGATTATTAAACTAACTGCTTTTATGCATGTCTGTTTGAGATGGTTCGGGCTACCCAACTCAAAACACGTGCAGAGTTTATCCTTTAAAAAAAAAAAAACAATAACTCAAAAATGTCAAAAAAGCAAAACTCACACATTTGGATATACAATATATAAATCTAAGAATCGTAAAAGCCTAATAAGTACGTGGTCCTTGATTCGGTGGTTTAATAACTGCTCAGAGTTATGACAGCCTCAGAATAAAAAAATATAAAATAAAACGACTCACTAGGAATATAGAGATCGGGAGCGTTGACATCTTGGCGGGGAGTGAGAGGAACATCACGATGGTACCGAACTTCCCAATTCTACAAAAAAAACCCCACCAATTTATGCGTTTGCCTATCATCAATCCACAGCTTCCATCCCCTTCCAAAATAACTAAAAAAAAAAAAAAAAATCTTTATTTTTTCACTAAATTTAAAAAGTGTCTAGTTCAGTGGTTCTCAACCTTTTTAATGCCGCGACCCCCCAACCGGTTGTAAGTCGAGGACTACTCAACCGGTCGTAAGTCGAGGACTACTCAACAGGTGCAGCACCGTTTGCAGACTGGGACTTTTGGCGGGCTCAGCAGGGCAGAGACAGCCTGGACAATTCCTATTGGCTTTGGAAAGCCAGTAGAATTAGACTCTATTCAAGAGAGTCTATTCTATTGGCTTTCAAAAGCCAATAGAATAAAAGAGAGTAAGCACAGCTAAGGAAAAGGGGGAAAAAATGGCAGAATGCGTTGTTTGGCAACCGCCGTGAAATGGTCGTTCGACCCCCAAATGGGGTCCCAACCCACAGGTTGAGAACCACTGGTCTAGTTCAATTTTTCAGCTGCAGAGAGAGCCTCAAAAGTCTTCCCTAAAAGGAATCTTTCTTCTGATATTCGATTTAGCCTCCCAACGCGTTCCCCAATGTGTTTTCTATTTCCAGTGGCAATGAGTTCCACAGGCTAACCGAGCTAAGTGAAGAAATACGTCTTGGCTGCTGGAATCTGACAAGACCCGAACTCTGCAATGAAGGCAGATCCCTTTTAATTCCTAACATGCCTGCTATATGCACACATCCCCCGACTTATAATCACTCATTTAGCAACCTTTCCAAATTATTACGCTGGAAAAAGTAGCTTCTAACCAGTCTTCACCCTTATGACCGTTGCAGGGTATCAGTCATGGGATCCAAATTCCGTTGCTTGGCAACCGGCATATATTTATGATGGTTACAGCATCCCAGGGTCATGTGAGTGCCCTCTGCAACTTTCCCACCAGCTTCCAACAAGCTATAGGGAAAGCTGGATTCGCTTAATGACCACACAATTCACTTAAGAACTGCAGTGATTTTTTTTTTCCACCACCATGCCAATAAAAATCAGGCTCATGACTCGCTTAAGGACCACCTTGTTTTCTTTACCTGGTGCATGTAAGGGAAGGCTAATACGCCTAATTTTTTCATCACGTACGTCGTGTCCACCGCAAAGAAGTACTTAAGCTTGTTGATAGAAACAAATCTGTGAATCTGCAAGAAAAAAAGAGAGATTTATTCCATGTACAAGGCCGGCCGTCTCACCGGGGGATCAAGTCATCCCCCTAAGAGTTTGGGGTTTGATTTGTATAGTGTCCGGTTGAAAAGAGGCTTCAAGATTATTTGCGAAGGGGCATTTCATTGACAAGATGGTTTGATGGTTGATGGCTGCTAGCTTCAATTTTATAGAACCGGCGATCAAATAAATTTGCTATTTGTATTCGACCCACAGTGTGACTTATTTTCTTGCAAAAAACTAAAATGCAGATCTGGAAAAGGGGCAGATCAGAAAAGGCCCTTAAGAATTTTATATATGTATATATATAAATGGTTCTTTCTTAAGCATTTTTTTAAACAGGTGTTTTTGTAAACATTATCTGGGGCTTGGCCTCGAAAGCAAAGTTATACACATAAACAATGAAACTTATATAGATTTCATTTTTATGTGCATAACTTTGCTTTCGGGATGAAGTCCCAGACAATGTTTACAAAAACTACCTGTTTTTTAAAAAAAACAGTGAAGAGTGCACCTCATTTTATTTTAAAAAGTCAACAGCCCTGTTTTTCACACATGAGTGCGCAGGGCCAGAAAATACAAAATAAATGGTATGATTATCTTTACAATGGACTAGAATGCAATGCAATGGAATATAACAAAATCTGTAGGATTAAAACTAAATGTTTAGGTTAATTAGTTTAAATGACATTTAGTTTTAATCCTCTTTTAGTTCACGTGCTTTTAAACGTGCTGAATCATTTTTTATGCCTATTTTACTTGCTCAGTGTTGAATGTTATAGGTCTGTAGTTTGTAGGTGCTTCTGACACCAATAAAACTAAATGACTTTTAGTTTTAATCCTATATATTATGTTACGTTGCACTGCATTGCATTTGAATCAGAATATCTATCTGTCTGTCTGTCTGTCTATCTATCTATCAATCTATCATCTATCTATATCTATATCTATATCTATCTATCTATATATATTTTTTTAAAAAGAGGATTCTCAATTTTTTTCCTTTACCTCTTTATGGACAATGTCTTTACCCTGGGAAGCAATGGAGGTGCCGTAAGCCACGGCGACGTTAGCAACTGGGTCAGCAAAAATCTGGTTGAAACTCATGTCGATCCCTGGCGTGGGGTAGCCCGCCTGGGGTGGACCGTAGCCTGAGCTGGTGTCATCAAAGAGCTGGGGGGCGTCCGTAGATTGTGGCACAGGGGGGATCCTGGCCCTGTGTTTGGAGCCTGCGAGGGGGAAAAAAATTAGGGAGAAGGAGGAGAAGAGGGGAACCCCACAGCCAGCAGCCCTCAATTAATAGGATACAATCCAGAATTCGCACTCAGCACAGGACTGAACACGCCTACGTGTGCTTTACTAAATCTGCCCTCCCGTTTTAAAGTTTATTCATCCTTCAATTGATCACCCTCTCCGAAGGGACACCTGGGGTGGCTTCCAAGGGAGGAGAAACCAGACTTTAATATTTATTTATATCCTAAATAATTCACATCATAAATAATATTTAATTTAGATGTGCATTTGATTTACTCCGCTTCTAAGCCCGCCAAGCAACCCCCAGCAACATAGAAAATAGCTAGTTTGGCACCCCCCCAGAACGGGATCTCGGGATCGACCCCCCCCTCCAAGCTCTGCCTTGCCCCAAAATGTGGGGGTGCAAAGTCAAAAATTGGGGTGAATTGCCCAACTAGCTCTAGTGGGTGCTGGGGTGATTTGATTCAAGCCCGGGGTTAAATCAAAAATGCACCCCGGAAGGGCCCCGACCGGCCAGCCGGATGTAGGGATCCCGGAGGATCTGGTGGATCCGGAGCCAAGCTAGGGATCCACTGGGATCCAGTGGGCCTCTCCAAAAGCAACAGGCGGGGAAGGGGGGAGCTGTTAATGGTGGATCCCCTCCCGGGCTAAGATCCCCCCCAAAAAAGCCCTCCCCGATTCTCCCCCCCATTGGATCCACCCGGCCTGTCCCCCTCCTCTTCCCTCCCCCCTCCTACCTACCTGGCCCCCCATAACCAGGGGGATAAGCCATGGCGCCCCTCGATCCACTCCGCCCCGCGCGGAAACGGATCGACGGTCGTTAATTAAATTAAACCAAAAAAAAATTAATTAATTGAAAAAAATAGAAGCCGAGCAGCAAAGTTGCGAAGAGATCGCCAAAAAAAAAAAAAAGAGGAAAAGAGCGAGGTTCTAAGCCACGTCCTCAAAGGCGCCGGCGCGGCCCAGGCGGCCGCTCCCATTGGCTGCCGCTTGTATCCTTTCGCAGGCGCCGCGCGCCGATTGGCGGAGAATGTATCCATTTCGCCCGGCGGAGGTTCCAAAGGGGCGGGGTTTGCTCACTCGGCATTTCCGAAGCCCTTCCGCGCACGCGCAGGAGGGAAGATGCGGGGGGGGGGAGAAAGGCGTTCCCGGGAGTTTGGGCGGCAACCGAGGTTTGGGGTGCCAGGCGGCGGCAGGGGATGATGGGAGTTGGGGTCTAGCCGAGCTGGCGACTGGTAGGAAGAAGTGGCGAGATGCAAAGGCGGCTTTTTGTTGTTGCTGTTGTTGTTGTTGAGGAAATTGCCTGTGGTTTTTTTTTTTTTTCCTTACAGAGGTTCCTTCTGATTGGCTGGGTCTGGGAAAGATGGCCGATCCCGAGCGGTGCTGGGAGTTGTAGTTCAATAAGACATCTAGTGGCCCACAGTTCCCTAAGCCTTATTTGTAAGACCAGCTAGCCCCAAACTTGGAAACTTGTAAGACTCGTGAACTTCAACTCCCATATATACATATAGATATACACAGGGCTTTTTTTTTTTCTCATTGAACGCCCAAAACGGAGTTCTGGCATCTTTTTTGGATGGAACCTTGTAGAGTAGGCAAGGCGGGTTGTATGACACGTGTGAGTTCTGGCACTTCTTTTTTTTTTTTACAAAAAACCCACTTGATTATAACCTATACCATTTAATAACAACAACAACAATAATAATAATAGTAAAGTTGGAAGGGACCTTAGAGGTCATCTAGTCCAACCCCCTGCTCAGGCAGAAAACCTTATACCATTTCAGACAAAATGGCTGTCCAGCCTCTTCTCCCGTGATGAAGCACCCACGATTTCTGGAGGCAGGCTGTTCCGCTGGTTAATTGTCCTCCCTGTCATTAAGTTTCTCCTTAATTCCAGGTTGCTTCTCTCTTTGGTCAGTTTCCAACTGTTGTTTCTTTTCCTGTCCTCTAGTGCTTTGGAGAATAGTTTGACCCCCTCCTCTTCTTTGGGGCAGCCCCTCAGATTCTAGAAGACTCCTATCATGTCTCCCCTATTTCTTCTTTTCTTTAGACTAGTCAAACCCAAGTCCTGCAGCCGTTCTTCGTCTGTTTTGGCCTCCAGGACTTGGGTCATCTTAGTTGCTCTTCTCTGAATTTTTTCCAAACTCTCAACATCTTTTTTTGTGATGTGACCATATGTATATGTGTATGTAAATAATAATGATGATGATGATGATGATGATAAATCCAGTCTGAACATCTGGCTGACTGTGTGATGATCCATAATAATAATAATAATGTTGGAAGAGACCTTGGAGGTCATCTAGACCAACCCCCTGTTCAGGCAGGAAGCCCTATACCATTTCAGACAAATGGCTGTCCAGTCTCTTCTTAAAAACTTCCAGTGTTGGAGCAATTCACCGTTTCTGGAGGCAGGTTGTTCCACTGGTTAATTTGTATATGTTCAAAATTTTGTGGTTGACAGTGTTAAAGGGAGACTAGTATAGCTATTTCAAGCTCTATTTCAGACTGATTTATCAGACCGGGTGCTTCATCCAACGTATAGATATATACATATATCTATAGAGTGCTTTTTTTGTTAAAAAAAAGTGCCAGAACTCACACATAATACAACTCACCTTGCCTACCCTACAAGGTTCTATCCAAAAAAGGTGCCCGAATTCCATTCTGGGCGTTCTATGACAAAAAAAAAGCCCTGGTTCATTCTACCTGTGGTTTGGCTAGATCTGTGTCAGAACCTAATTAGCAGGGCCAAGCTTTATCTGGCTATGGGGCTATTACAGATCTGGCAGAGGTGATGTTATCTGCTGATGGCGACCTCTGAAGATGACATAAAAGGCTTTGGAATGGGAGAATTTCAGGGACCCTCCCATTCCAGAGACCCTGACCAAACTTAATCTGGTGGTAGCCCAATATAAACCAGGTTTATTCAGGGCAGCCGCATCTGTCCCTCGCTGCAAGCTTTGAAGCAATCTTGACTTCGGGGTTATTAGAACTAACATCCTTATGGGGGGTGGGTGGGGAGGGCAGAAAGGCGAGTCTCTTTAACCCGGGTTTGCATTCCCCACGTGCAGTCGCATCTGTCCCTCGCTGCAAGCCTTGAAGCAATCTTGACTTCGGGGTTATGAGAACTAACATCCTTATGGGGGGTGGGGAGGGCAGAAAGGCGAGTCTCTTTGACCCGGGTTTGCATTCCGACGTGCAGAGGCGCCGCTTTCGTGCTCAGGGGGAAGAGGAGGGAGGGACACGTGGGGAAGCAGCCTGCCGAGTCATCAGGGCCGAAAAACAAGCGGGCGAAGGAGGCAGGCAGGCGGGCGGGCGGGCGGGGGAGACGAGCGGTGCAGCTTAGCGGGACAAAGCAAGGGAGACGAAGCTCTGGGCGGCGGACCCTCGGGGGGCAACCGGGCCCGGGCTTTGTGCGCGGGCTGCTTTCCAGCCCCGCCGCGGAGGGCGGAGCCTCGGCCGCCGCCAAAGTGCCCGGGCGTCCGGGCAGGTGGGCGCCAGGCAGGGCGCGCCGGCGACTCTGCCTCCCATGCTCCGCTGCGGGGACTGCGGGGCCGGCCAGCCCCTCGCCCGAGCCTAAGATGCGGCCGGGCCGCCTGCTCGGCGGCGCCACGCGTGAACTATGCCTGGCGTCGGGGGAGAAGACGGAGCGCAGCAGCCGGGCGCCGGGGAGCTGCCCACGCTCACCCCGGCTGGGGGACCCCCTCGGGAAGAGGTAAGTCCAAGCTGCGGGGCGGTGGGGGTAGGGGAGGATGGGGAGACAGTCAAAGAAAGGGAAGAAAGAGCAGGAGAAAGGAAAGGAAGATGGGGAAAGAGAAAGGAAAGGAAGATGGGAAAGGAAAGAAAGAACAGAAAGAAGGAAGGGAAGGGAAGAAGGAAGGGAAGGGAAAGAAGAAAAGGCTGCCAGGAAGAAAGGAAGGAAGAAAGGAAGGAAAGAAAGAGAGGAGGAATTTAAAAAGCCCGAACCGCTTTTACGCTGCGCCCTGGGCGCACCGCTTGGAGACGAGTCCCCCTTTCCAAGCGGCGCCTCCAAAATCCGGGGTTAGCGGGGGCTTTCGGGCTTTGAAACCCGGGGTTCGGGCCTCTGCTTTTCGGTCCTTCGCCAGGCCCCCCCTTTTTTTTCTTTTCCCAAAACGGGGGAGGCGGGGCGTGAACATGGGAGAAGCGCAGGAGCGATTTTGCTGCAGGGAACACGTGTCCCTTTGTGCATTATTCATAGCTCTACGGGGGGTTAAAAATAAACCTGGGTTTCTGCGCTGGGGGGGGGTCGAAGACGAGGGGGGGGAAAGGTGGCTTCTTGGGCCCCCTTGCATCCTCGCCGCCTCCTCCCTCCCTCCCCAACCAGGACTTTCAACGCTTTGGAGCATTCGGAGCGTTTTGCAAGAAGGCGCCCGCCGTGCGTAAAACGAGGCGCCCCGGTTTTCTCGGGATTCCCAGAGCAGAGGAAGGAAAGAGAGAGGGGAGCTGCAGGGAAGCGGCGCGTTTTGCGACCAGCTGGTGTGTGTTTGTGTGTGTGTGAGAGAGAGAGAGAGTGGGGGGGGGGAGGCACGCCGTGAAGTTCTGCATTGCACCACAGTCCGCCCGGCCGCGTCCTTCGCCTCTCCGCTTGGATGCTACTTGCGGCGAGCGACACCGCTCGGTGTCAATGGAGGAACAAAGCCAGCAGGACCTGGGAAGGGGGCGAAGGGGTTTGGGTGGGTGGGGGTAAAGGGGGGGGGTTGGAAATCATTCCGACGCTGATTGGGACTCGCCCCCCCTCTCTTCTCCACGTCTAGCATTTTTTTTTATTTTTTTAAAAAAGCTGCATTTTCCTGCAGGAAAAAAACAAAGGATAATTTTATCCCTCCCCCGAAAAAGCCTTAGGAATAAGGGGAGTCTCTCCCTCCCCCTTCTTTTGCACGCCTTTCTGCAGCCTGCCTGGCTGGGGATGAAGGGGATGTAATTCAGCCCTTCTTGGGGGGGCGGGACGCCAGGTTGGGGATAGAAAAAGCCTCTGGGACAAAGGCTGAGCCGTCCTTCCTCACTTTTGAAGAATTAAGATTGGGGAAGTATTTTTTTTGGAGGGGGGGGAGTTGGCACCCAAGAAGCTGGGAGTTGCCACGGTTGAGAAGCACACATAAACACACCTACGCACACAAATTTTGATAGACAAATGCCAGCAAGATGCGTTTAATGAATAAAGCATCTTTGGTCATGTTGCGTGCGTTCTTCCTGGAGTGCATCAAAGCAAAGGGAAGAGGGTGTGAGATTGACACCCCCCCATGCTTTTAAAAAAAATTAAAAACTCATCCTCTTTTCCCCCCCCCCCCCAACCATCTTAAAAGCCATTTGCTGTTGGCAGCCTCCCCAAAATTCCAGTTGCCTAACCCCTTTGCAGTTCTCAGGGAGACATAAAAGGCAGGGGATGATGGAAGAGGTCCGTGGAAAAGTGATGGAATTCCCAGCTGACCCCTCTTCCCCCCCCCATCCCGCCCCAGAGGGCTGATCCACCTTGAAGTTGTCCCGGCTTAGTTTATTTTATTATTTATTATTGATCCATTTCTAGAGCCATCCAACTCAGCTGTAAGCAACCCTATGTGGCTAACCATTCTAAAATTCTAAAGCCATTTAAAAAAAAACAGTAAAAGCATCCTCAAACAAAGAATTAAATAGAATTTAAAAAAAAAGAATTAAATAGTCGGAATTCCCTTGGACTCTCTCTCCCCTCTTTCTCTCTTTCTGTCTGTGTTTCTTGTCTCTCTTTCTCTTTTTCTGTCTCTCTGACTTTCTTTCTCTCTGTCTTTCTTTCTTTCTCTCAGCTAGAGGTGAGACAACTTCCAGGAACAGTTCAATAACAGCGTATCCCTAACCGTTTCATCCAACTTGGCTTATGGCTAGATACGTTCAATGGCTGGGGGTCACAACAAAATGGAACCTCCCCTATACAGGAGCAATCTATCCTAGTGTAAGGAAGCCAACCAGAGAACTGTAGGCTTCCTGGTTATGCATTTTGGCTTTTGGGGGGGAAACACACTCGGCTTTATTTTGTCTGGCTTCGACATCCTGTTTATATCCCTGAAAGTGGCCGTGTTAGCATCTGGCCTCAACGCCCCCAATGTGAACGGCGTGATGTGTGTCTGAAAACACAATTGCAGGGTGTCTGGCACGTCAACCCCAAGCTGGTTGTTAAGTCACCCACCCCACCCCCCTGCCTGCTGTGATCCTGGAACGCGGAAAGGCCGAAGACATTGGCACCCTTTCAAGGGTTCAACTTTGGCGTGCTGGTTTTTTTTTCGTCCTCTGGGTTAGAAACACAGGGGCAGCTGTGAAATGGAATGAGGGGTCTCAGATCTTTGTGGAAAGGGGCAGCTCTGTAACCCGTTCTTCTTCTCTTCCCTCCTTGCCTGTCTCTCCCTCGACCCTCAGCAACGTCCTCTGAAGCAGTCTCTCAGCAGCTCGCTGTGCCGCGAGTCCCACTGGAAATGCTTAGTGCTCACCCTCCTGATGTTCGGCTGCTTCGGCGTCATGGCCTGGTGCCGCCTCTCGACGGTGACCCGCCTGAACTACGACAGCTCCTACCGAGGGGCCTCGCTGGTGTACCACGACAGCCCGTGCTCCAACGGATACATCTACATCCCGCTGGCCTTCTTGAGCATGTTGTACGTGGTGTATCTGGTGGAGTGCTGGCACCGGTTCGCCAAGGGACAGAGTCAGTATCGGGTGGACACGGCGAGCGTCTACGACAAGGTGCAGCGCATGCAGCAGGCCACGCCCTGCATCTGGTGGAAAGCCGTCAGCTACCACTACATCCGTCGTACGAGGCAAGTCACGCGTTATCGCAACGGGGACGCTTATACGACCACCCAGGTTTACCACGAGCGGGTCAACACCCACGTCTCGGAGACGGAGTTTGACTACTCGGGCCACGGGGTGAAGGACGTCTCTAAGGAGCTGCTGGGCCTCTCGGATTACCCCGTGACCAAACTCCGCTTTACGAAATGCTTCAGCTTCGCCACGGGCGAGGCAGAAGCCGCCTACCTGACGCAGAGGGCCCGGTTCTTCGGCGAGAACGAGGGCTTGGACGACTACATGGAGGCCCGCGAAGGGATGCACCTCAAAAACGTGGACTTTAAGGAGCACATGTTGGTCTTCCCGGATCCGGGGCGCCCACCTTGGTACACGCGCCGGAGTGTCTTCTGGCTGGCCTCTTTCCTCCTGCTGTCCTGGCCGCTGAGAGTTTTGTCTGAATACCGTACGGCGAACGTACATTATCACGTGGAGAAACTCTTTGGGGCAGACGACGGGCCCAGCCCGCTGGATGCCGCGGGGAGCTACGGGCGGCGCATCTCGCGTGTCAACACAGTGGACATGACCGAACTGGAATGGCACATCCGTTCCAACCAGCAGCTGGTGCCCAGCTACTCCGAGGCCGTGTTGATGGACACCACGACGGTGGCGGGCGCAGCGTACCTCCGCAGCTGCCAAAGTTGCCGCCGGACTGTCAGCAGCAACTCCCTGCCCTCGCGGGGCACCCGAGCCCTCTACGCCCGCCTGCCGTTCAGCTGCAGCCGCTTCTCGCTGAGCGGCGCCCGGCGGTGCGGTGGGATCCTGCGCAGCCTCAGCGGGAGCCATGTGGGAAGCAACACCGAGACGGAGCCGTTGGAAAGCCCCCCGTGCTACCAGGATGCGTTGTACTTTCCTGTGCTGATTGTGCACGGAGGCGAGGGCTGCGAGCGCAACGGGCACCGGCCGGGGTTAGCAGGCAGAGGGCAAGGGACCCCCCTGTGAACTGGTAGGGGGGGAGGGATGGTGGAAACTAAGTTCCCTGGGAGAAAGGCAGTACAAGACGTCTCTGGCTTGTTTCCCTGAGCCAAGATCGAACCCATTAACCCAACTGCAAGGCTCTTTGGCCGACATTACAGCCTTCTAAGGTAGCTTCTTTGGGGAGAGAGGAGCCCATTTAGCCAATATGGTTCAGGTATGGGGTTTCTTTTGCCCAACTCTTTGGTAGAGGAAGGAAGGATTAGAGGGAAGGTAGGAAAAAAGCAAAAAAAAGGGAAGAAAATAAAGGAAGGAAAAAAGGGAGGGAGAAGGAAGGGAGAAATGGAGGGAAGAAAAAGGAACAGAGGGAAGGAAGGAAGGAACAGAGCAGGAAGGGAAAACATCCCAAACTTTCAGAAAAATGTGAATTTTCAAAGCAGTGTTCTAAAAACAAGAGTTTTCAAGTCAGTATTCTTATTCAGAATTCTTTTGCTGAGCTCTTCACTAGGGAAGGAAGGAAGGAAGGAAGGAAAGAAAGAAAGAAAGAGAAAGAAAGAAAGAAAAAGAAAGAAAGAAGGAAGGAAGGAAGGAAAGAAGGAAATAAATCCCGGAAAATGTGAGACAGTTTCCCACAAGTGCTCAGGAACATAAACAAAACAAAAAAAGAACAGAAACGGCATTTAACCGGGGGAGGAAAGATCAGAGGCTCAGCCCAATGGACCACAGAACAACCAAATTGGAAGGGACCTTGGAGGTCTTCTAGTCCAACCCACAGCTTCTCCATTGTTCCTTTAGTCCCGCTCACCCTGGGGCAGCAGTCACCTCAAGGAAACGTGTACTCAGAAAGTTGGATCCCGTGCCAGGCGCTTGCACTAAGGAGGGATCGAAGCCATCCCACTTGGGCTTGTAAGACACACGAGGAGGGGAGACCACACAGCAAAGCTCGAATTGGAGAGATGACATTTTTAATCCCCAACGCTGGCAGAAAACCCCCCCCCCCCAAATTTTTTCACCCTAGCCAGCCTCACTTCCCTCCCCAGTAATGTGGGTTCTTAGAGAAAGAAGCGTATGGGTAGCTATCGGGTGCCAACATGAATCGATTGAACCTCCCTGCCTAGGAGCAGTCTACCTTGAACCCTAGGGCCATGCGAGGGGGGCAGGGTGAGGTTTATATTGCCGGCCTCCTCCAAGCTTTCTCTTTACAATTCCTAATATTGAGATTGGTTTTTTCCAAATTAAGTTCTGCACTGGCAAAGCGGGGCCAGCTTTGTTTGAGGCTGCTTTAAATATCCCCAAAATAATAATAATGAATGAATGAAGAATTTTCATACCGGATCCATGAACTGAAAAAGGAGCTGACATTTGAATGAACGAGCATTGCAAAAACATGGATGCCTAAATGTCCGTCCGAGCAGGGAAGGGAGCAAGGAGGGTGGATGAGGAACACAGAGTAGAATAGAGTACAGTCCTCCTTTAGCGACCAAAACCGGGACCAGCAATTCAGTCTTTAAGCCAAGCGGCAACTTAAGTTGAAATTGTTTTACTCATTATTTATTACATTTATAGGCTGTCTGTCACGCTATCCAGAGTCTGTCTGTCAATCTCAATCAGGCTTCCCCATTGACTTCGCTCGTCAGACGGTCGCAAAAGGGGATCACGTGACCCCTGGACGCTGCAACAGTCATAAATAAGAGTCAGATGCCAAGCATCTGAATGTAACTCACATGACCGATGCTGCAACGGCCGTAAGGGTGAAAAACGGTCATAAGTCACTTTTTTCAGTGCCGTCGTAACCTTGAACGGTCACTAAGCAAGTCCACTAAGTCCTCTAGGGACTCTCAGTTCTCGAAATAAGGGCTAAGCAGGGTTTCATCCTAATCTCGTGTGCCGAACCCCAAGAATGGAAGAGGAGACAACAAAGTGACATGCACAACCCTGTCGGCGAGCGACCGAATCGCTACATTCACAGAACGGTCCAGTTTTCCTTTTAGGGTCTTAAGTGTGGAATAGGACTCCCATCTTTTCAGACACTGTCACATCTCCTGCGTGAAGCCAGCAAAAGGGATTGATTGGCACCCAAAGGTGTCGTGTGTAAATTGGTTCGGAAGCACATCGGGCCCCGCCGACAGAAAGACTGGTGATCTGGGTAATCCCAGGATCCCTTCTTCCGTTCAGAACTGCTGGCAGATCCCCCCACGAGTTGCCTCCGAAGGGAGGAGGCGATTTCGTCCCGCTTTCGCTCTGGAAAAAAAACAAAAAAGAAGCAGAATTTGCTCTGGATTTTTCAGCTAATCTGTTTTTTTTCAGTCTTGACAATTTCCCATCTTGGGAGAAGTTGATATCAACTGCCCTTCCGAGGCTTTGGGGGAGGGGAGGTCTGCTTGCTGATGGCGTGGAGGGGGGGGGTGTCCTGCACCGTCCCACATTGGTGTAACCTTGGTGCAAAATACTACAAGTAGTCCTCAACTTATGACACAATTGAGCCGAACATTTATGTGGCTAAGAGAGAAATTTGTCTGGAATGGATTAAGGTTTCCTGCCTGAGCAAGGGGCTGGACTAGAAGACCTCCAAGGTCCCTTCCGACTCTTATTATTATTAAATTTGTTTTGCCCTGCTTTCAACTTTCCTTGCCACGTTTCCTAAGCGAATCGCTGCAGTTCTTAAATCAGGAACCCGGTTGTTAAGTGAGTCAGAAGGTCGCAAAAGTGGATTACATGACCTCTCGGGACGCTACAGCCATCATCAATGTGAGCCAGTTGCCAAATGTCCGAATGTAAATCAACCTGACCCATGGGGGATGCTACAAGGGTGAAAAAACGGGTCCTCGGTTACTTTTTTCAGTGCCGGTCACTAAACGAACAGTTGTAAGTTGAGGACTACTTGGATTTGATTTCCTTTGTGCGGCTTGAAAGGGACGAGAGGGATGTTCTGCTAAACAAGAAAAGAAGGAAAGATAACTTCAGTTTCCTCCTTTTGCAAATGTTTTGGGTGCCATTTCGTGGAGACGGTCTCTCGGTGACCAAACCGCAGGACAAACAAAAAAACAAAAAAAACGAAGTGGGGATGATGAGCGCCGTAGCCCACCCACCATTGTCGAAATAAAAGGATTTCAAATCCCTGACTTGGCTGGTTACTTGGTGTGCCTTTGCGTGGGTTGAAGAATAGAATAGAATAGAAATTGAACAGAAATTGAATAGAAATTGAATTAGAAGTAGAATAGAATATAGAGTAGAATAGAATAGAATAAAGAAAGAATAGAACAGAATGGGAATAGAATAGAATAGAAATTGAATTAGAAGTAGAATAGAATATAGAATAGAATAGAAATTGAATTAGAAGAATAGAATAGAATATAGAGTAGAATAAAATAAAATAGAACAGAATGGGAATAGAATAGAAATTGAATTAGAAGTAGAATAGAATAGAAATTGAATTAGAAGAATAGAATAGAAATTGAATTAGAAGTAGAATAGAATAGAATAAAGAAAATAGAATAGAACAGAATGGGAATAGAATAGAATAGAATGGAAATTGAATTAGAAGTAGAATAGAATATAGAATAGAATAGAAATTGAATTAGAAGAATAGAATATAGAGTAGAATAGAATAGAATAAAGAGAAAATAGAATAGAATAGAATAGAATAACCAAGTTGGAAGGGACCTAGGTCATCTAGCCCAGCCCCCCACCTAAGCAGGAGACCCTACACCAATGAACCAGACTTTTTTATTTTTCCACAATAGTGATCTCAGGCATTTTGTGGGCCAGGTGTCTGTCTGAAATTAATAATAATAATAGCCTGTCTACTCTACAAGGTGAGCCTGGGTGGCTTATATTATAAAGCAAATGGTGCTTTTATCGGTAATCCCAATATCGCCCAGCAAATACTTACGGTTCAAATTGGGATTTAATGAACAGAAGTCACTTGTCTGACTTCTTTCCAGGGGGCTGGACTGGAAGACCTCCGAGGTCTCTTTCAGCTCTATTCTATTCTGAAATTATTAGTCCGGTCAGTTTTGCACCAAATTTTAATTGGAGGGCAGTTCTCCAAATCTGGCAAGAGGAGAGGGAGACTTGGGCTTCCCCCCCCCCAGTTCTAATTGTGGATAGAAGGGTGTGCAAGGAGACAGCGTGCCAAAAAAAAAAAGTGCAAAGAATATGGCTTTTAAACAATGCACGATGCTCAATCCCTTAATTATTCATAATGGAAGAAAGAAAAAAATCAGCGTTTGCTCTGTAATTGATTCTCACCGTAGCCGGAGGACGAACAGATGGGTCCAGTTATTTGGAAATAAGTCATTTTCCCTCAAATGGTAGTGGCTACCGGGGAGCTGATGCTGTGATCCTCTGTGGCCTCTGAGCATCCTCCCCCCCCCCGGGGGTTCCCATGGCGATGGTTGCAAAGCAACCAGGAGGCAGTGGGGACCAAGCTTGGTGTCTTAGCATCCTCCTTTCAGGAAAGTCCAATTCCTGGCCATTTCAAGTCCTCTGAAACCATGGCTGAACTTGTCTCCAGGATGCTTTATAATTTTCTGGGGTCTCCCATCCAAAAATCGGCCCGGCCTGGCCCTGCTTAACTTTTTTTTTTTCCCCTTTCAACATCAGCCGCGATGATGCTATAAATCCAGGCTGAAATGAATACGGAGGAACGTGAATTTCACAATTTTTTTTTAAAAAAAAAGTCTCCGCTCCCAGGGGGCTTCTTGCGTTACTCCTGCAGAATAGTAAGTGGAGGTGAGTAATGAAGACACACCAAGGGTCCACCTCACAAAGGGGATGGGATTGGTCTCTTCTGGGAAAAAAAATGCAGATGATATCCTTATGCTAAAAGCTTTAGCAAGAGGATTAGCGTGCTGAGATAATCTCTTGGGGATAATACAGAAGGTGAGAGGAGATCAGAATGGAAATTGAAATGAAGCTTGGTTTCTAAATTTTCTCATCCGCTGAGCTGCTGCTGTATATTGGATAGCAAGAGGGGCAATGTCTAAATTTGAGTATGTATCTATATTCCTTCCTTCCTTCCCCTTTTCTGTCATCTGTCTATACCTTTTTCTTCCTTCTTTCCTTCCGTTCTCCCTTATCTACCTACCTATCAACTGCTGTCTGTCTTTCTCTGTCTGCCTATCATCTGTCTCCTTCCTTCCTTCCCCCTCTTTCATCTGTCCATATCTTCTTTCCTTTTTCCTTCCTTATCTACCTACCTACCTACCAACTCCTGTCTGTCTATCATCTGTCTTCTTCCTTCCTTCCTTTCCTTCCTTCTGTCATCTGTCTATATCTTTTTCTTCTTTCCTTCTTCCTTATCTACCTATCAATTCCTGTCTGTCTATCATCTGTCTCCTTCCTTCCTTCCTTCCTTCCTTCCTTCCTTCCTTCCTTCCTTCCTTCCTTCCTTCCTTCCTTCCTTGTCATCTGTCTATATATTTTTCTTCTTCTTTATCTACCTATCAATTCCTGTCTATCATCTGTCTCCTTCCTTCCTCCCTCCCTTGTCTGTCATCTGTCTATATCTTTTTCTTCTTTCCTTCCTTATCTATCAACTCCTGTCTGTCCCTCTATCATCTGTCTTCCTTCCTTCCTTCCTTCCTTCCTTCCTCCTCTCTGTCATTCATCTATAACTTTTTCTTCTGTCTCCTCTCTCCTTCCCTCCATCCGTGGCCTTTTCATCCTTTCAGTCCAGCCTTAAAATCTTTGACCGTGGGAATAACATTCCCCCTGGAACCGTCTGCTAACCAGGATGGCTCCTCCTGCCAGCGAGGAACTAACTTCTACTTCTGATCAAAAGTCAATGTGGAAAAAAAAAAGTTTCTTTGGGCCAATCACCAGGAGATGGTGAGTTCTAGTTCTGCCTTAGACATCAAAGCCTTTGGGCCAATCATAAGCCTGGACACAGACTGCAGCCCCCATTGGAATATTTGAGAGGGCCGTTTGTGTACCTGAGCCCAGGCTTGCCTGTTGTATCCTACAACACACAAATGCACACACAAAGAGACACAAAGATCTCTGGATTATTTTTTTTCCTTGGAAAAAAGGAAGATTGATGGAAAGCCCGTGAGCGCCCTCTAGTGATATAAAGTTCCCACTGCACCTTTCGGAGCCCTGGACATCGTACTTGATGGTGACCCTTACTTAACCCAGACTTGAATGCCCCAAATCTCAGAATAAATCATCAAACCACCTTGTGCAATCTCAGGCCAGAACGGACCCAGGTGCCAGGAGAGAAAATCCGTTGTGGGGACAGCTTCACCTCCTAAGGAAAAAAAATTCCTCCGTAGCTTCAAGAGGCCACCGAAGATACAGTGAGTCTTAAAAGATTTAGAGAAAGCCACGCAAGATATTCGTGACCATCTCTGGGTTCTGATCACAGCTGGGACCTGAATTTCCGTGGCCACGCAAGACGGCTGTTAAGGAAGTCATGCTCCATTTTGTCACCTCTTTGTTACGGTTGTTCAACGAATCACTGCCGCTCTTCCGTAGCACGTATTAACAACCCCATGGTTGTTAAAGAAAGATGGCTTCCCTCACTGACTTTCCTTGCGGGAAGCCAGCTGGAAAGGTTGCAGGTGTGGATCACATGCATTTTGACCCCAAGATGCAGCAGTGGTTGTAAATGTGAGGACTGGTGGTTTTCTGGCAGACGTTTCGTGACCCAACTAGGGAACATCATCAATGCTAGAAGGGACTGGGGTTTACAGAGAGGAGGAAGAGGACTGTGGAGTCCATGTGGAGCACCAAGGACCCCACAGTCATTCTCCTCCTCCTCCTCCTCCCTCCGAGCACTGATGACGTTCCCTAGTTGGGTCACGAAACGTCTGCAAGAAAAACCACCAAGTTCGGAGAACAGCAAGGATCCTGCAAAAAATTCAAAGGCTGTTTTTCGGCCTGCCTCCCTTGGCTCGTTCAGGCAACGCAGAGCCTCCACAGCCAGTGGCTCTCCGCCCAGGAAAATATGCATCTTCCCAAGAGCGGAGAAGGCCAGCCAGGCATCCCTCCAGCCTCTGTCCGTGGCTTCTTTATCTCCGCTCGCCTCTCCAACTCAGCATTTTTCCAGCCCCGCAAAGTCTCTGATTTCACCCAGCTGTCTCCTCTGCCCTCTGTCCCAGCTGGAGCGTCCCCTGAGGCTTTTAAACAACCTCTACTTTGCAATTCTAGAAACCCCGATTCTTGCCTAGCCTGTCACCCGCAATCTGAGATAGGCCCCATCTGACCGGGATCTCAGCTGCCAGGAGTGACGTATTGCAGATGTGTTCCTTCGGGCACCGTCTCCAGGGACTTCAATCCTTGCAAAGTCAGCTGGGAGGGGAAGAGACATGGCTTGCAAGTGTTGGAGAATCATTTTTCTCCTTTTTGTAATTGTGTTTCCCCCTCTTTTCTGCTGATTTCCACAGGAAGAACAGAGAGCACAGGGAGAAGGGGGGGGGCAGGAGAGAGAAGAACAAAAGACTGACCTGTTTCTTTTTTGGGGGGGGTGTGAATTTTTTTATTATTAGTTTATAATACAGCATACAAAGAAAATGCAAAAGTACATAGGAGAGAAAAGTGTGGGGGGGGGGAAGCAAGGAGGAAAAGGGGGAAAAAAATGAATTGACTTCTGATTCCCTTTGGTGCAATAGAATAAAACATTAATAACAAACCTCAACTTTTTACTTTTACACAATAGCATAAACTAGCCATTTCGATAACCACAGGTCTAGCTAATCGGTAAAACCCAAAATCAATATTTCATTATTATTATTATTATTTTTTACACCTCAAGCACAAAGTCCAGAAGTGGTTTCCAGGCAGAAATAAAAGCATTATTATAATAAAACTCAGACCCTTTTTCTCAAAGGTTAAAGGGGGAGGTGTGGGGAGAAGCACAGCCCTTTCTTGCCTGCCACAACATGGATTTTTTTAAAATTATTTTTTTTTGGTGGAGAATTTGGAAGTAGGCTCTGTTTACGGTGCTGATGGCTTCCAGATGTCCAGCCAGCCCAGGTTTGGTGTCAGCAAAAGAGCCGAGCCAGCGAGAAAGAGAGAACGAATTCATCTGGTCCCTGGGTGTGTGGAAGAATAGGAAGGAAATCAAGTCTGACCCCCCAAAAGAAAAAAACAAAAGAGGAATTAAGAAGGGTGAAGAACAATGGAAGGAGAGAGGGGGAGAGAGAGAGATATTGTACGATGAACGAGTGAGATCAAGGATGGGGAATGACCGGAGGTAATGCAAAGATTAAAAATGGACAGATCGATCCCTGCCCTTGCAGACATTTCTGGAAGGCGGTTACTGGATCTCTGTAGCAAGAAAGTTGGCTGCATCCCAGCTCAGTTGCTCTCCCAGGAATGGGGTTGGCCCTGGGCGTCTGGAAAAGACTCCCGTTGACCTTCGTGGCGATTCGCTTGGATTCCTCCCTCCGCCAGAAGCCGAGCACGTCATCGTGCAAAAAGCCGAGTAGATTCCCTCGGGATCTGAAAAAGGACGGGATGGAAGGATGCTAGAAGACCCTTCTGGGAAGGGGGTCCTACTCACCCCCCACCACCATAAAGCCTGCGTGCTACACCTCCTTGTCCATTCTGGAAATCCAGACTCTGATTCAGCGTCCATCAGCTTGAGGCGGGCCAAAAGAGACACCGACAAATGTTAACAGCCCATTGTGGGTTTGGGATGAGCAGTATGGGATTTGAAGTCCCTCTATGAGCTACACAACAGCCTCAAAAACACCCACAGAAAAGACCAAGGGCCTTTCCCAACCCAACTTCCCGTAGAAAAGGCCAAACGCTTTTCCAGAATTGCAACTCACTGCAGCGTGAACACACACCCTGGCAAGCCATCTTGTCGATGATGGCTACTTGGCTACTCCCTTCCTCTAAAGATGCTTAAAGGTCCTCTTTTAGATCTTCTGATAGCCACCTGCTGCTGCTTCAGCCCACCAGGTCTTTTTTGGCACCATCTATCCGCTTGGATCCCTGAGCCAAGGGTTGGACTAGAAGACCTCCAAGGTCCCTTCCAATTATGTTATCAGTTTGGACAGGAGCTGACCGGCAGTGGAGGCCATTTCCTTCTCGGCTGCTTTATGGTCAATTCTCCAACTGCGTGGTTCAGCCAGCTTTAGGATTCTTCTAGAAGAAGGATAAACCCACGCTGACCGTTGATCCTGGTTTAGCGAATGGGCTCAAGAGAACCCAGTTAACAGCTGACCCCAGATCTTATCAGCTCCTGGAAAGGAGATCTAGATTAGCAATCAAACTCTGTTCACCCCCAACTAGACCGTTAGTCCTTCATGATCGGTCAAACTAAGAAAACGAAGCCAGATGGATCAGACCGACAAGGAGTCCTCGATTTACGTCCAATCATTTAGTGACCGTTCAAAGTTACAACTGCACAGAAAAAAGTGACTTAGGACTGTGTTTCACACTTACAACCGTCGCAGCCTCCCCCGTGGTCAAAATGCAGACACTTGGCAATGGGCTCATATGACGGTCACAGTGTCTCCCGGGTTATGGCCGTTAAATTGAGGACTAACTGTATATATATATTTGCCAGCTTAAAAGGCCAGCGAAGGGCCGTTCAACTTGGCCCAGACCTTGGAGGAAAATAAGAAATCTGTTTTTTTTTTCTCCCCTGCCTATCTGATTTATGATTTGTAATTTGCAAGCTGTTCCAGTGGTTTGGTTTCGCTTCTCGAAAATCTCCAGTCCCTCTGGATTTTAACGGCCAGAATTATTCCATCCGTCTCGTGTCCAGTCACCCCGAGGGATCTGGGCAGTCCTGGCCGACGAGCACAAAATGTGAAGGTCACTAAGCGCCCACGTCACAGTAGGAATACGAAGGGCGTCCGAGAATCGGACCACAGCGTGGCGTGACCTTGTTTGAAAACGTTCCAGACGGAAAGCAAAACTTTCAAAAGAAAGAAGAATGGGGGGGGGGGAAGAGAATCGCCAGGAGATGGTGAGTTCTAGCTCTAGTTTAGCCAAGAAAGCAAGTTGGGTGACTT